CCCCGGTACCAAAAAAAAAAAAAAAATGAGGGACAGAAGCTTGATATTAGATAGGTGAGTGCAAGTCAATCAGGTTTAATTTTTAGTCCACTGAATCAGCTCATTTGCTGAGGAACTGGATGCTTGTGAATGCTTTGTGTAGCACTGTCACCTTTGACCTAGCCCAACCTTACCTCAGCTCCTGTGTACTCATCTCTCTGCACTCTCTCACCAACAAGCAGTGCCTTGTCTCTCTAGGAGGGACAGGATCTAGAGGTCCTGTACTTACATTCTTGCTCCAAGAGAATGGTCTTTTCTCTTGGTTAACAGAAATTTTTAAAATAATTTAGTAAATTTTGAGCATCTGCTGTTATTAAATAGCAATAGTGTGAGATACATTTAGGACATGCAAATAAGGTATGATTCTTACCTTAAAATTTAGATATATATTTATAATAATACAAAGTAAAAAACATGTCTTATATCCATATTACCAACTCATTCTTGTAATCATTATGTGCATAATTAAAAACAATAAACAGTAAAAAGATAGAGAAAAATAACACTCTCTAAAGCACAGAATAGGGAAATCATTGCTGATATCACAGAAGAGACAACATTTGAACTCAGCCTTGAAAGTATAATAGCATTTCAAGATGTGGAGAGGAGGAGAGAAGGCCATTTGAACAGAGAATATCATGAGCAAAGGGACATATGGTAGAAAAATGTAACATTTATGTGGTATAGTGATTACTTAACTGTGATACAAGTCTAAGAGATGGATAAGTCCAGTCTCACATCCTCTGCTGGGTCTCTGCTCAATCATATTGGCATAGAAAAACGATAAAAATCAGGCCATAAAGATGATACCCAAAGCCACTATCCCTCCTTTTCTTCTTTCCCATCTATCCAATAAGTTAAGGTGGTTGTTGCTATAAGAAAGACATTTGCTGCTGCGGCTACCTTGTGCTGCACTTATTGTCTTGGCAGAGCCATGAATCAAGAGGAATTTTAGTCTGATGATACTAGCTGTATAGTTTTCTATTTCTAAAATTATATAGTTCAATGTTTTAAAATATCTGTCATTAGATCAAATATCTAGAAACAAATAATTTGAAAGCATGAAAGTACTAGGAGCATCATAGGATAAAATTATAAGTTTCTGAGAAGAAAAATATAGTATACGGTGAGTATTTTCAATTTGAAAAATCCTAAAATCTTATTTTATTATTTTATTCTCCAAAATCTGAAACTTTTTGAGTGCCAGTGTGACTCAACAAGTGGGAAATTCCACACCTGACCTCATGTGAAGGGCTGAAAACAAAACATTGATGCACTAAAGATATTAAATACTATTAGCTATGTGTATAAGGTATATGCGAAACATGTGTTTATGAAACTTTGTGTTTATATGAAGGTAAACATGAAACTTTAAAAATTAAACTTTAAAATTAAAAATTTCTTTAATGTGTTTATATTTGGATCCAATCTCCAAAGTATCTCATTATGTATATCCAAATATCCCCAAATACATAATCTGAAACACTTCTGGTCTCAAGTGTTTCAGATAAGGGATTCTCAACCTATAAACAAAGTCAAAATTCAAGCAAACCAGGAAAAAAACTTGCAACATAGGATGGGATAAAGATTTAATTCCTTTAATAGTCATTAAAATATCAATAAAAAACAAAGAGAAAAAAGTTTAATGCTGTGCTGGGCAAAAAAATAAATATATGAAATTCATGAATGACACTATCAGTTTATAGGAAAAGAAATACAGATAGTTTATAAATTTATGAATGTACCAATGGCTTCACTCATAAAATAACAGCAAATCAAAAGGGAAATTCTTTGTATCTATTAGAATAGGGCAAAGAAAAAGAACTTATATTAAAGCCTGTGTAGGCAAGAGTACAGGGAAACAAGCAGTCAGTGTTGGTTGGTATATAAGCTAAGAAATTATTTGCAGAATACCTTGAAAGTAACTATCAAACTTTAATATGTATAGTGGAGCACTTAGAGGGAAGTGTGCTAATATATTCAGCTTACCCTGAAATGTATCAAGAAATAAAATGGTGAGCTATGTCTGTAATGAACAAAGCATAGTTAAATGTTAATAGCAGAGTCCAGGTGATAGGTATATAAGTGTCCCCTATAAAATCCTTTCATTTATTTCTGCTTGAAAGTATTCTTAAGGATGTGAGGTTGAATACAAGAAATAAAGAGAGAAAAGATAAATCATAATTTAAATTTGTACTTTTAGGAAGACTGCAACTTTATGTCACAATCATAATCACTGAAGGTTATCCATATCTGTACTCCCTAGGCCTGTTTGTTTATGCTTTTCATCAAGGCCCATCACACCCAAAATCCTTTAAAGATACTATTAGCCCATCTTTATAGCCAAGTAGTAACCCATTATGTATCGATACCATATTTTCTTTATCCATTTGTCTGTTGGTGGGTATAGAAGCTGCTTCCAGGATTTAGCTACTGTGAATTGTGCTGCTATAAACACTGGCATATGTGCATCGCTGTAATGATGTCTTTAGCTCTTTTGGAAAGATATCTAGAAGGGGAATAGCTGAGTCAAATGCAATTTCTATGTGCTGTTCTTTGAGAAATCTCCATGCTGATTTCCATAATGGTTGTACTAGTTTATACTCCCACCAACAATGTAGAAGTGTTCCTTTTCACCACAGCTATGCCAGCATTTTTTATTTCTTGATGACTGCATTCTTTCTGGAATAAGATGAAATTTTAGTGTTGCTTTAATTTGCATTTCAGAATAAATTTAAGACATTTATAGGAAAATAGATACACTTGGAAAGTATAATGTTAAGTGAAATCACGCCCACAAGCATAAACACCATAAAATATCTCTCATTTGAGTAAGGCAAAGTATCAATAAAGACCAAAATAAAATATTGATAGGGGAAAACAGGAAGATGGATATTTTACAAACTGGAAGGAGACCAAGGGCTAGGGGAGGTGGGGAAAAAGTTTAAGATTTAAGATGTATCATAAACATGTATCATAATTAATGTAAACATTATATGTTATAAACATGAACAAAAATAGTAATAATAATAATGAAAATGGAGAAAGGAGATCTAGAGGGAAGTGGATGTGGAGGGGAAGCAAAATAAGAGAACTGAGATGTATTATGTAAAAAATAAAAATTAAAGATTTCTTTTTTAAAAAGAGATACCATTAGCCCATAAATTAGCTTAGTTGATAAGGGGCAGAAACCTGACCTTAAGATAAACAGATTCAAATGTTTCAAAGAATGATTTTAAGCAAAGCATCTTAGATCACCCATCTAACCGAAAAAAAAAAACAACAACACAGACTGGGCACTGCCTTTCTCCTATAAAATGGACCATCCTTTTAATCTGAAAATGAACTGTTATATTTCAAACTGTAGTTGGTTTATTCTAAGAATCGTGTCTGAACAGGAATTAGTGATTATCCTGGACATTTTCCTGGAGTTCAATAAAAAGCTAACATTAAGAAATATTTAAGAATCACTTTACAACGTGCTTCTAAGAATGTCAGAGAACTTTTTCCATTCCCAAGCCATTTATTTATTTTAAAATTTTTATTAGCGCATGCTAACATTGCATGATGATAAAGTTTATGTTGGGAAGTTGGTACATGTATTTAACATATCTTAAACCCAAGCCATTTAAAAAAGTGTTTATCCCCAGATCTACTTACTATATATATGCCCACTGTCAACAAACTGGAAATTCTGGACTTTTTCTGGCTATCACACAACAGCATAGTTGGCACATGTAATCATTTTCACTGAAGCAAATCCATTTTTGTTAAAAATGTGGACATAAAATTTTCGTTTAGATAGAATAGCTTTCACTGGAAAAATATGAGAAGCTTAAAAGTTAAGTCTTTATAGCTAAGCTGTTCTTCACTTCTTATTTGTAGAATAGAAAGGAAAAATAAACTTCCTAATTTTTTAGTTCTGAAATGATTTCTTAGTTTAAGATCAACTGGTCTAAATGAAGGCTTTGGATACATGTGCATAGGAATTTTTGTAACAAAAAAAAAACAAAACAAGTGGTTTTGTTTTTGTTTTTGTGCTTTTGGCCTTTTTCCCCCCTTTTTTTTCTTTTTTTGGTATTGGAAATTGAACTCAGGGCCTCGTGCTTGCCAGGCAGGCACTGCACTGCTGAGCTACAACCCTGGCCCTCTTTTTTAAAAGTATTTTAAAAGTTAATTGCTCAGTAAACTTTACACATAGAAAAATGCTCAGGAGTTAATAGTTTTATATAAAATTTTATGAACTACATCTGGCAGTTTGTTGCCTTATTTAGTATGATTTAATATTTTAATGTAACTTTTAAAATTACAAAATAGAGCCTATTGTAGAATACAGTAAAATTACAAAGATGTCCAAAGAAGAAAATAAAGTTACTTTAAATCTCACCAGCAAAGATAACATCTTTCTAGTATATATTAGCGTCTTTCTGGTATATATTATTCTAGTTCAGTGGTAGATAGGAGAGAAAGATTGGGGACATTAAACAAAAATGGATCATATCATACATGTTCAGAAGCATCATGGTTAAGAAATCAGTCTCTGAAGTGAAACAGAAGGCTATAGTCAGTTAAGTTCTGATTCCACTATTTATAATTACATGACCTTAGGCAAATATTTAACCTCTCTAAGCCTCATGCAAAAAATAGAAGTACCCACCTCTTAGGGTTGTTGTAAAAATTAAATCAATAATTCATACAAAACATTCTATATGTAAGCTATAGTTGTCTTTGTATAGCCCACATTGAAATAACTCCGTTTTTACTTAAAATATGGCTGTAAGTTCTTGAAACCAAATTTTATCTACTTTATTTTTTCCTTAGTATTTAGAAGCTTTCTGGTTGTTTTTTGAAATATTTTTGTTTGCTTGCTTGTTTTGTTTTGAGATAAGATTTTGCATGTAGTACAAGTTGACCTTGAACTCACCATGTAGCCCAGAGTAGCCTCAAACAGTGATCCTTCTGCCTCAGCCTCCAAGAGCCATGATTACAGGTGTACATTCCTACATTCTGCTTCTTTTTTTGAAATATTCTTTTATCTCTTTTCAGTTTCCCAGGTTATATATTAAGCACATTATTAATTTGTTATACATAATACCAGGAATCCTTGACTTGCTATGAAATCTACAATTTAAATCCTTTCATGTTAAAATATGCTCATCTCAGCTGGAGATTTGTGGTGTTGTTTTTATGGTTAGAAATCAAAGCACCTTCCATTGTTACTAAGCAGGAGTAAAATTTTGGGGGTGTAGTGAGCACGTCTTTACTATGCCTGCCTATTAAGCTTGTAATTGACCAGTTATTTTTCACTTTTTCTTCAGGACTCCACATCATCCACAGCCTAGATGAGGTCAATTTCATACAGAACCTTGTATTTTACATTGAAGCTGCATATAAAACTGCTGTAAGTACTCATTTTGGAGTGGGTCTCTCTCTCTCTCTCTCTCTCTCTCTCTCTCTCCCCCCTCCCTCCCTCTCTCTGTCCCAATTGAGCCCAGGGCTAGGCAAGAACTTTACAATTAAGCTACACCTTCCACCCAGTCTATTTTCTTTACTAAGATCATTCTCTATTTTTTTCCTGTTTATCCCCACTCCCCTGTCCTCCCTTCAACCCCTTCACCCTGCCTATTAAAAAAGACTTTGTTTCCATTTTTTCATTTTCTCATATTTATTCATTTCCCCTACTCCTCACACTTCCCTTCCCCCTTTAGACCTTTTCTTCCTATTTCACATTATCTATTATACATTTTGAACCTTATTTACACTTTCAGTTTCTCACACCAAAGAAACTTCGGTATTTATTATTTATTCATTTCCCCTACTCCTCACACTTCCCTTCCCCCTTTAGACCTTTTCTTCCTATTTCACATTATCTATTATACATTTTGAACCTTATTTACACTTTCAGTTTCTCACACCAAAGAAACTATTCGGTATTTACACATGTCCTAATTATTTCAGGTAAGAGTATGGCCTCAATGTGTATCCATTTAGCTATAAATGTCTCTAGTTTCTCATTCTTTATTGCTGAGTAGTATTTCATTTCATAAAAAAAAAATCTTCGTTATCCAGTCTGCAGTTCACGGGTAATTGAGCTATTTCCCAGCTTTAGCTATTACAAACTGTGCCACTATAAACATGCATGCACATATATTGCTGTGATGCAATTCTTTTAAATCTTCTGGGAAAATACCCATCATGGCAATAGCTGGGTCATATGGGACCTTTAATCCTAGTTTTTTGAGGTATCTCCACATTGATTTCCACAGTGGTTGCACCAGTCTGCACTCCCTCCAACAGTGGAGAAGGGTTCCTTTCTCCCCACAGCAGCCCCACCAGCATTTGATATTGGTTGATTTCTTTTCTCTCTCTCTCTCTCTCTCTCTCTCTCTCTCATTGAGTTTATTGGTACATTTTATGTGTACAGTACAGTTACATTCATCATTGGGATCTTGTACCTTTACATGACAAGTCTTGGTTCTCATTTTTTACCCTCGTCCCTGCCCTCCCTTCACCCCCTCCTACCTTCCCTATTTACAAATACTTCATTTCCATTTTTTCATTTTCTCATATTTTTTCTTTTCCCTTATTTCCTTTCCCCTACCCTTCCTACTTCCCCTACACCTTTAGCCCTTTTCTTCCTATTTCACATTGTCAATTATATCATTAGGACTTCTGACAATTTTGAAAATATGCTTTACTGTGATGATAATTTCACAGATGTAAACATAGTTCAATATTGATCAAATTGTACTATTTAATGTGTGTACTGTTTTGTAGACCAGTTATATTTCAATAATATATAAAATTGATTATTTGTGGAATTCATAAATGCAAATCATTCGAAGACAGTGCAGGAGACACTGCCAGAGTCATTTTCTCAAACTGCCTCTTTGTTGTGTTCCCATTTCTTACTACCCACCCTTCTCCCTTGTGACCAACAAATATTTTTCCAGTGCTGAGGATGGAACTAAGGCCTCAAACATTCTGGGCAGACACTCAGTCACTGAGCTATACCTCCAGCCAATATACTTTTAATTTTTGTTAGTCAATTATCTTTCAGAATATTTAATTAAAATGAATGTATTTACCATTTCTAGGGATTATCTTTTCTATATATAGATTCCTATTTCAAACTTCTATCAATCATTTCCTTCTGCCTGAAGAATCTCCTTTACTATTTCTTGAATCTGGTGGTGATAAAGTATTTCAACTTTTATATGCCTTTATTTTACCTTCATTTTTGAATGATATTTACTTAGGCATAGAATTTTTGCTAGCAGCTGTTTTTGACTTTTAGCATTTTTAAAAACATTACTCTTGTCTTTTTGCTTGCATTATTGTTTTTGTTCGTTTGTTTTGACAAGGATCTCAGTGATCTATAGTTCACCTGGCCTCAAACTCACTGTGTAGCCCAGTCTGTCTCGAACAATCTGCAGTCCTCCTGTGTCAGCCTTCCAGCTGTTGGGATTACAGGATGTACCACCATTCCTAGCTCAACTTGCATTGTTTTTGACAAGAAATGTTTTGTTATGTTTGCCTTCATTTCTCTTTACATAATGTACCGTTTCCCTGGGCTGCTTTTAAGAGTTTCCTCTATTCATGTTAAGAATTTATGTTATTTTGTTCTTCGGTTTACTTCAAGTTTTCTTGTTTTGCTGTGTGTGTGTGTGTGTGTGTGTGTGTGTGTGTGTGCGCGCGCGCGTGCGTGCGCGAGCGTGCGTGCGTGCCTGCGTGCGCGCACTTAGGGGTCATTGATCCACGGATCCATGAATATATTGTGTTCATCAAAGGTTTTCATCAACTATTTCTTCATATATTTTTATGTTGCCTCCTTCCTTCAAGGAATCCAAATACACATGCACGATGCTGTTGCACAGCTCCTGGATGTATTGCTTAATTTTAAAATTCCTTTTTCTCTCTTTTTCATTTTGGATAGTTTCCATTGCTATACCTTCAACTTCTCCAATCTTTTCATTTACAGTGCCTAACTTGTCATTCATCCCAACCAGTATACTTTTTATCTCAAACAGTTTAATCTCTATAAGTTCAATTTGCATCCTTTTTATACCTTCCAAGTGTCTACTAAACTCTTTAAATGTTTACAAAACATTTACAAAAATTTTAATATCCTTGTCTGAGTATTCTATTATCTGTGTCAGTTCTGGGTTGGTTTCAGTTATTGATTTTTCATTTTGAGGCTGTAGCTTCCTGCTTCTTTGCATGCCTAATTTTTTTCATTGTATGCTAGATATCAGAATCTTGTTGCATTATGAATGTTTTTGTATTCTTACAAATATTCTGAAATTTTGCTCTGAGACTGATCTTTTATTGCTTTTAACATGTGTTATACAGGTCAAGGATCATGTTTAGTTTAAGGCAAATTATTCCCCACTACTTAGGCAAAACCTTTATGAGTACTCTACCCAGTACCCCTGTACATTATAATCCAGTTAGTTGGAAAAGGCACCATTTCTCCCATATGAACGTCAGCTATTTTTCTCTCTAATTCTTTTGGCTGATACTTTTCCTAGTCTCAAGTAGTTGCACTGGTCATTATGCTGCATAATATTTGAGAGTGACTCTCTTCAGATTTCTGGGTTTATCTGTATGTGTAACTCTCTCTTCTCCATTAATATGTCCTGAAAATTATAGATACCTTGGTGTATCGCTATACACTTAGCTTCATTTCTTCAAATTAAAAAGTCTTCTAACCTTTGCTTGGGTTTCTTCTCCTTGTACTGTGTCCTGGAATCCTACAAACAGCAATCTGGGGAAATCTAGGACTCATCTCATGTGTTATTTCTTTCACACATCCCTCTTTTATTATATGTTCTTTGCATTAGAAACTACTGTGTCATAAATAGTCTAGTATATTTTACTTGTTTCCGGTGGGAGGGTAAATCTAGAGGCTATTACTCCATATTTTTCAGAAGTACAAGTCAACATAGATATTTTTGATTTGCTAACAGATTAGTTGACCTCCTGATACACAGACCTGCTGTGGTCCAGGGTAGAGATCAGGGTTTTTTGGCCTCTCTGCTGCACCAAGGAGTTGCAGTGGTAAAATTGATTATATTGATTCCTTCTTATACTCTAATCCTTGCTGCACAAACAGATGGGTCTGAGTTTGGGGGCAGATGAGCCTAGCCATGTGTTAAATAGGGCTTACCTTCTTGAAACGTCACTTTAACTTGGAGATTTTACATGAAAAGAATTAAAGGTAGATGCATAAATAAATATAGATGTGGGGGAGAGTTTGTGTGTGCATATACATACACGTGTTCATGTATCTCTTTCCACATTCTGTTGAATGAATCCTTAGGAGCAAAGACACCCCAGTAACAACAAACATCTCCCATGCCCAGGTCAGGGATTCTATAATTTTCTAATAAAATAAACCAGGGTTTCTTTAGAAGTGATTGATTTTAGGGCTAGGGCAAGAAATATATGAGATTGAAGCATCTTGGAATGCCAGAGAGTGAAGAAGTGTGCAAAAAAGAATAGGGCATGTTAAAAATTCTTAAGTAAATTTAAAAGGCACAGGAGCCAACTGCATCCAATAACCAAAAGCTGAAAAATTAAGAAATTGGGCAGAAAACAGTGATGGTATTTTATTATATGCCAAGGGAAAACCTAAATATCCAAAGCTCATACCAATATAAATGACTGAATAATTAAATGAGAGTAAAGGAACAGCTCTTCCTCAGAGAAGAATTGCAAATAATGATTACACAAGTAATGAAGAAACTAGAAAATCACTAATTAAATGCCACTATAATTGCTGCAGGCAAGATCCACCAGTGGATGCTGAATTAGTAGGTGTATGAAGAAAAATAAAATATTTTCATAGTCTTAAAGTCCATTTCTAGAGATATTTATTAATTGCAAATGGAAAAATAGTAACTGTAGAATAGAGAAATATACCAGACAGTGCCTTAACAAAGTGCTAGAAGAAAGTTAACATCATCAGTAATAAGATAACATCTTATATGCCCCAAAATGATGCTCTGAAAAGTACGCAGCATGATTTCTACAATATGGATTCTTACCCAAAATGTATAGCTTCAGTCTCATCATGAGTTTAAAGTAAACTCAAATTAAGGGAAATCTACAATTTACATAATCACTACTATTCAAAAAATGTCAAGTTCATGAAAAACAAGACATGAAGAACCATCTATTTATTGGAAGAGACTTAGGAGACCTAATAAATGTGATGTGAATCCTGGAATATAAAAGACCTATTGGTGAAAAACTAGTGAAATCTAAATAAAGTCTATAGTTGGTAGTATTTTACTGCTATTAATTTCTTAGCTGTGACAATTGTACTATGGCTATGTCAAATGCTAACATTTGAGAAAGCTGAGTGAAAGGTATATGGGAACTCACTGTGTTATTGTTTGCAACTTCTCTGTAAATCTGAATTCATTTCTAGTTAAAAAGGTTTTGAAGGTAATTTTTAAATACTATCTGTATATTATAGAGGGACTGTATAGAGATGTGGCTAAGAGTAGGCTTTTGGAGTGTAGTTTCTTGGACTCTAATCCTGATTCTGTCACTTTATTAGCTATATGACCTTGTCTGTGTCATTTAACCTCTGTTTATACTTCAGTTTCATTATCTGTAAAATGTGAGAATTAAAGAAGACGATATGTAAAATGCAGAGGTTAGTGCATAATATACTGCCAGTGCCAATAGAGAATAAAAATAGAATGAAAGTTAAAATACAGGGCTGCTGTTTAGTTTCCATTTCTTAGATCCCCTGGGTATCTACTGCGGTGCAAATTTTGAGAACCATATCTCCAGATGAAGTGAGTTTTAGTTCTCAGCCCTCCTAGCTAAATCTTGAGGAGTCTTCAAACTTCTTGGAGACCATGATAGAAATTAAAGCTATCGGAAAAGTAACTGCAGGGGCTGCCAATTCATTGACTACACCTTAATACACATTGTGTGCATACACAGCTTTGGCAAATTAGGTAATATTAGTGTTTTTTATTCAAGGTTTGTGCATCTAGTGAGTATTTAGTAGTTATGACTTGCTAATCCTATATTGGTTATTTTATGCCAGGACTTCGGGATATGGGAACGTGGAGACAAGACAAACCAAGGAATATCAGAGTTGAATGCCAGTTCAGTTGGAATGGCAAAGGTAAGTTTCCTTTCTCATTATCTCTACCATTGCAAAAACAAAAGAAAATTCTTTTGGCTTCCCTAGAGCTATTGGCAAAGCTTGATATCAAGGAACCATCACTCAGTCCTCCATCCCCTTTGCTCTCCTCTGTCCCCAAAATTATCATCCTCATCATCATCATCATCCTCATCCTCATCATCATCATCACCATCACCTTTCTGCTTGGCCCTTCTCTGGAAACAGCAAAACACATAAAGTGAGAGCAGGAAGAAGATGAAACATATCTGTTATGATAAATATGCATAATTTAATCTTTTTGCTAAAAGACAAAGACAGATTGATTTTTAAAAAGAAAATCCAATGTATATTGCCCATATAACAAAATGATACAGAAAAACTAAAACCAGAAGGATACCATAGGTAAAGTCTGACAAACAAAAAAGAGTATACTATGTATGTGAATGTCCAGTGAAGTTGAATTCAAAGCAAAAAGTATTATGTGAAGTAAAGGGACAAAGAGACTTTGTTTATTTGTTTTTTATTTTTTGAGACAAAGTCTCGCTATGCAGTTCAGACTGGCCTTAAACTCACTATGTAGCCTCAGCTGGCTTTAAATTCAGCAGTCCTCCTGCCTCAGCCTCCCGAGTTCTGAGATTACAGGCATGCACCATAACAGCTTGTGATAGTCTTTTAAAAGACACACTTGTATTTAGAAAGTCCAATTTGGAATACAGTTTCAGTTACAGAACAAAATAATGTTAGAAATACAAGGCAAAACAGGCAATTATAAAGGAATAATTAAACAAAAAACATTGTCAGGTTGACAGTAAGGTAAAACAAAAATGAGATAATAAAAAATTTGAATTGTATAATTAATGCAGTTTAATAAATGAATATGGAACTTTGTACCTATAACATATTTATCCCTTGGGTAAACTTTTTCTTTTTAATGCATTTTTAAATCACCAAAGTGTTGTTGTTAAATTAGATCCTATTATATGTACTTCTGTAGCACCTGGTTGCTTTTGACTTAACAATGTTCAACATCACTGGCCTTTAGAGAAATTCAAATTAAAACAGCACTAAGATATCATCTTACTCCAAAAAGATTGGTAATCATCAAGAAATAAAATAATAACAAATGCTGGAGAGGCTACAGGAGAAAGGAAAATTGATGGGGGAATGTGAAATAGTACAATTACTATGAAGATCAGTCTGGAGATTCCTCCAAAAACTAAAACTAAGAATTGCGTTTGACCCAGCTTATCCTCTTCTAGCTATCTTCCCCAAAGAGTTAAAGACATCATGTTACAGTGATACGTGCATACGCATATTTATAGCAACACAGTTTATGATAGCTAACTTTTGGGGAAAACCTATGTACCCATCAACTGAAGAATAGATAAAGAAAACATGGTATTTATATATACAGTGGAATACTACTCTGCCATAAAGAATGATATGCTTGAAGCATTTGTAGGCGAATGGATGCATCTCAGAACCATAATATTAGGTGAAATAAATGGGACACACATGATTTCTCTTATATGAGAAACCCAAAATATAGATAAAGAGCAAAATAAAAGATATTTAATAGGAAGTAGATTTTTTTCGAATGGGAAGCAGAACAAGAGATGGAGGGCATGGAAGAAGAAGGAAGAGAAAAGGGATTTTTAAAAAGATATAATTCAGTAAAAACATGAAAATAGAGTTTGTGTAAATGTGAAGGGGAACAAGAATTAGAGGGAGCAGGGAGCGATGGTAGAGAAAGAGAACAAAAACAGAATTAAGATGTGTTATGTATGTGTACCAACCTGCCACAATAAATGTAATCATTTTGAAGTGCAAACATGTACTAATAAAAGAAATCATGGCACTAAATAACCTAACTAAACGTCCTTCCATGTCATTTCATACAGATAAATCTAGTTCATTCTTTTCAGTTGCTGTATAATATTTAATAATTGCTCTATTCTTTTACTGATCCATATAATGTTTTAGTGGGGATCTTTGCACATACATCCTATAACTTGCACAAACAATTTTGTAGGATAGATTTCCAAAAGTGGAACAACTGCACTAAGGTATATACATTTAAAAATTGCCCTCCCCAAATATTTCCAGTACTTTACATTTCCTCCAACCATATATGATAGCTAAGTGCTATTATATACTATGTATGCCATTTTCCTCCAATTTTAGTAACTCTGGATATTATCGATACTCTTGGATATTGGACCTAAAAAGTTTTCAGCCATTGAAACTTTTTTATTTTTAAATCATTTCAGAATGGGGAAAAGTTGCAAGAATGGTATAAAACATTCCATATACCCTTTATCTAACTTCTCCACTTGTTAACATTTAGTTTCACACACATGTACACACACGATCACACATATTTTCTGAGCTACTTTGAAGTACATCACAGACTCAGTGTCCCACTATTCCTAAATACTGCATTGTGAATTGCCTCACTATTATCTAATTTGCTGACCCCATTCAAATTTCTTTAACTGTCCCAATGATGTCATTTTTTTTGGCAAAAATAAAAATTCCTGTGATGCAGGACCTAATCTAGGATAACATGTTACATTTAGTTATAATATCTCTTAGGCTCGCTGAACCAAAAATACTTTTCTTGTCTTTCATGACCTTAGCATTTTTGAACAGCACAGGTCATAATTTGTTTGTTTGGTTTGGCCCTGGGAATCAAACCGAGGGCCTCATGCATGCTAAGCATGTGATCTACTGATCTATACTGTCAGCCTCCCTTCACCTTTTACTTTCCAGACCCAGGCCAGTTATTTTATAGAGTTTCCCTCAATTGATTCTGTGTGAATTTTCTCAGGATTTGACTCAAGTTATGTGTTTTTGGCGAGACCACTGCAGAGGTGACGCTGTGTGCTCCCTCTGTTATCAGGGAGTGTGTGATGTGAATATGTCTCTTTACTGATGATGTTATCTTTGATCACTTCATTGAGGTGATTTCTGCTAGGTTTCTCTGCTATAAATTTGCTTGGTTTTCCCATTTTTAATAATGAGTATTTTAGCCTCATCAACTTCTGCTTATCCTTTAGATCTCACTTAGGTATCATTTCTTCAGAGAACCAGTCCAGAACTGTTTCCTACTTCCAAGACTAGGTCAAGTCTGCTTCATAGTTGAGGAACTACAGATAAGTAATAAATACTTGAAGTAATGTCCAACCTTCAAAAATTAAATATTTTGTTTGCATTAAGGAAGGTATGGTCATATACTGTACTTCTAGTGATAGCTGTATTGGTATAATATACATGAAAAGCAATTCAGCATTATGTCTGAAAAATGTTCATACACTTTGACTCAATGACTCTACTTCAGAGAACTAATGTTTACAAAAAAACTCAAAATGGGAAAGAATAATTTGTTAGGTTGACAATGAACCTACCGTATGCCATGCTGTGTGATTGGTATTGGTAAAAATACAAAACTCTGACCTCAAAGAATTTATAATTTAGCAAGAGAAGTTCATCAAAGTACTGTTTCCAACAGAACCAAATTAAAGACAACCTAAATTTTTAGTAATAGATAAATGGCCAAATATAGTTTATTACAGCCATATGAGAGATGTTATGACAAAATTGTTCCAATGATACTGAAAAACACTCACGCTGTGTTAGTAATTGTAAAAAGTAAGATACCAAATGTGGTTCAATTATATACAAATATACATGGAAAAAACTAAACAGAAACATGTCAAAGTATTAAGAGTGGTGGTTTCCCCTGCTCTTAATACTTTACTATGGTTCCAAAATACTCTATAGGTACTATGTTTTGTTTTATGATTTAGAAAAGTAAGAAATTAATAAATTCTATTAAAAATAACAATCTCACTTTTATGAGGAATCTTACAGAGTCAAACACAGAAGTAGAGAGCAGAATGATAGTTATCAAATGCTAGTATGTGAGGGGAGTTGTTGATCAAGCAGTACAAAGATTCAGATAGATAGGAGAAGTAAGTTTTGAGATCTGTTGCCCAGCAAGGTGACTATACTCAATAAAAGTGTATATTTTTTTAAAAGCATGCAAATTCTTCCTTTCCTTGCTGGTTCATGTTTATTTTTAAATCACATCACTCTAGGATATTCACAACTAGTTGGACAGTCATCTATGTGGCAGTACCCAATGATTGTAGCATTATCTTTACAACCACACAACTTCTAGTATTTCTTATGTGCCGATATCACACTTGGAGGTTCTCTGCCAAAAGAACAATTTACTATAAATTCATGTGCCATGTTCACATTTTTAAATTGTGCCACTTGACTTGAGTGCTACAGACACCACCTAAACTTTCTCTTAAATGATATGAGTGGCAAAGAAAAACTCAGAAGCCCCTGGAAAGAAAGAATGTTATTGTACTGTATTTTCTGTTATGTCTAACATATTCAGAAGTGACATCATGTGCAATAATAAGTTCTTAGGGTACAACAAAAAAACATATCTTTTTTGGCAATACTGAGTTTTGAATCGGGGTCTTGCGCATACTAAGCAAGTGAGATATGTCCCTTAACTCAGAGCTGTATAGCTTTCTAACATTGAAGGTGTCCTTTCTCCTATTTCTTCCCATAGGCAGCCCTGGAAGCACTAGATGAACTGGACCTATTTGGTGTGAAAGGTGGGCCCCAATCAGTTATCCATGTCCTGCCTGATGAAGTACAACACTGCCAGGTAAGGGAATAATAGACTGTGTTAAGCAAATTTTATTCTTGTCCAGACTCAAGCTTAGAATGGGGCATTAGAGTAAGGAGAGCTGAAGGACAGTAAATCATATGATGTATGGTCATGTGCCAACAAATGTCTTTATTAAGCATCCAGTATCAAAATAAGCCTGATAGTACCAGCTGTAAAATAGATCATAGTCCTGTTCTCTCACTAAAGGTTTTAAAAGAATTCCACCCTAGTATATAAAATTCTCCACTGCTATCATATCAAGAGACTATAGTCGCTTTCTAAAAATATATTTTTCTAAGCACACAGACAGAACAAGAGATAACAGATTTTGAGCATTCTTTATAGTGGCTCTGAAACATTCTCATATCCTTGGTTGCCTCTGGTTAGATATTTGGAGATTAGACTTTTAATGGAGTAAATATGTATCTTGCTTTGTTTAGGATTATTCATGGTATTGGATGATTAAGGTTTTTCTCAATGGCACAGTGAATCTTCTTTTTCATCAAACCCTGATTAGACACTGTTGGTATGCTAGTGAATATCAACTCACCTTCTAACTTGCAAATTTTCCATGGAAAACATACATTCAGAGGTATAAGAGCTGAGAGCCTTCCCATCTTACTTCTCATCAGCTACATTTTGTCTTAATTCTATTCTTAAATAGGTGCTAATACAACAGGACTGTGGGTGAGATAATGATGTTAGAATCAACTTTATGTATGAGCACCTGCTTAAGAATCAGGATGGGGGCCGGGGATTTAGCTCAGTGGTTCGGTGGCCTGCCTTGCAAGCGCAAGGACCCGAGTTCAATCCCTGGTACCTCCCACTAAAAAAAAAGAATCAGGATGGGAAAGCACTGAGAAAAGTATTAAGATGAGGGTTAATTTACAAAACCAGCAAGTTTTTTAAGCTATTGCTAATGAATGTTTAAATTTGTTTCTGAAAAATCTTCCTCCTCATAAATCTTTTGAAAATAAAGCTGTTAGTTTTACAATATTAAAGTGGTTGGTAATGTATCAGGTTTGACTTCCTTTCTCTTAGTCTATCCTTAATTCACTACTGCCCCGGGCTTCAACATCCAAAGAGGTTGATGCCAGTCTGCTCTCAGTGATTTCCTTCCCAGCCTTTGCTGTTGAGGACAGCCAGTTGGTGGAGCTCACAAAACAGGAGATCATCACCAAGCTTCAGGTGGGTCTATATGTGCTCCGAAATTTGGTGCCTTTGGGGACCTTGAGTAAGACTTGCATCAGCGGTTTCAAGAAATCTTCTATTTTTTAAAAACCTGTCCTCTTCTAAATACTTTTCTTAAGGCTATTAGTTTCTCTCTCTCTTCCCTTCCCGTCCCTTCCCCTCCCTCCCCTTCCCGCTTCCTAAAATCAGGGATCAGACTCAGGCTCTTGCCATGTAGGTACAGAGCCACTAAGCTACAACCCCAACCCCAAAAGGTTGCTAGCTTCTACAGTTAATGCTGGTGGGAATACAGAGTAGTATATCCACTTGGGAACATGGTTTGACAATTTCTTACAAATTTAAACATATACCTACTACATTACCTAACAACCTCACCCATAGATATGTGCCCTACAGAAGAGAAAACTTAGGCTTATACAAAAATATGTACACAAATGTTTATAGAAGTTTTAGTCATAGATACAAAAAACCAGAAACAACCTTCAACAAAAAACAGTGAACAAATTACACCACATCCCAGCGAAATACTACTCCACAATTAAAATGAACTACTGATTTATGTGACAATATGGATGATTCTTACATGTATTTTGCTAAGAGAAAAAAAGAATGACTACATATTGTATGATACTATTTATATAACACTCTGAAAAAGGCAAAACTAAAGGGGAAAAGAGATTAATGGTTTCTAGAAGTTGGGAGGATAGACTATAAAGATACAATTCTGCAGAATTTTGAGGGTAATGGAGTATTTCTCCATGGAACTCTGCTGGGTAGACTCCTGACTCTGTATAGTTTGTCAAAACCCATAAAACTGCATACTGCAAAAAGTAAATTTTAAAAATAAACCAGAGTACGAAAGAAAAATAAACTTCAGACTGAATAATGAGTCTAATTGTACAACAAATGAGTCATATAACTATACTGAAGGGGGTGAAACAAGGAGCTGACTCAGAAAATTGTGTTTTGTCTAGATATTGTAAGCCTAAACACAAAAATAAGCATATACTCACACTATACTTCAGGGATTAACAAGCTATAGCCTGTGAACTAACCAACTATTCTTGTAAGGTTTTATTGGAACACAGCCCAGCTATGTTTATATTCCATGTACTGCTGCTTTCAAGGTACAGTAACATAGCTGAGTAGTTCCAACAGAGACCATATGGCCTGAAAAACCTAAAATATTTACTATCTAGCCTTTTAAGAAAGAATTTGCCAACTTTTGCTCTAGATTTGTTTCTCTTTGTTTCTCAAAGAATGGATGTATGGACAAAAAAAAAAAAAAAAGAACTGCACATCATAGATAAAATTCCAGAAACTTAGAACAAAGAAAGAATACTACAAGCTGTTAGAGAAAAGTACCAAATCACCTATAATGGCAACCCTATCAGAATAATACATTTCTCAACACAAGCCTTAAAGTCCAAGAGAGTTTGAAGTGAAGTTTTTCAAGGCCTAAAACAAAATAATTGCCAGTGCAGATTACTATATCATTCAAAAGTATCCTTCAAAATGGGTCGAGAAATAAAGACCTTCCATGATAAAGATAAACTAAAGAAACTCACGACCAACAAACCAGCACTGCAGAAAATACTTTAGGTAATCCTAGAGATAAGGAGGAAGACAACTCAAGAACCCAAGGGAAAGAATCTTACTGGAAAAGTAGTCATGCAAAAGGAAAACAGAAAATAATCAAGCACATGACAGGAATCAGTATATACCTTTCAATAATAGCACTCAGTGTAAATGGGCTTAATTCTCCAACCAAAACACATACCCTGTCAGATTGGATCAGAAAACAAGACCCAGCTATATGCTGCCTACAAGAGACGTACCTTATCCATGAAGATACACACAAATTGAACAGATAGATGGGAAATGACACTCCAGATGTGTTTCAGGGCACAGACCAGTAAGCTCCAGGTACACAGGCATTGAGCAGTGCCCATGTGGTAGGCAGGGCCAGGACCTTTTTCAGATGCACTGAGGTGGAGACAAGTTCCCCTTGGAGTACAAGCATGCCTCCATCATTGTTAGAGGCTGAGCTTTGTGAAGGCTGCAGGGTGGGCAGAGTGTAGTGTGTCAGACTGAGCCTTTCTATGTCTGAGATTCCTCTGTGGTCTCTGCCAGGATGACCCCTGAATTAGGCCAGCTCCTGCCAAAGCTCCTGACCACGGCAAAGGATCAGTTCAGGGAGCACCAACTACCAGAACTCCCATCCTGATCCACTCCAATGAGTTTGGGGTAGAATGGGTCAAGTTTTGGATGTCCAATAGTGGGAGGCTGCCAACTACATGCTGAGCAGGAGCTCTGGCCCCAGTACCATCTGACTTGTATTTATTTACCATGTCCCTTGTGTCTGAGCTACCTGGCGCTACTGCCAATAAAATAGTACTGGAATCGATACACATTTGAAGGACCTTGGTATTAGACTGACTCTCTGAGCTACAGAAGTTAGTTGCAGAGTAGGTATCCTTCGGAGAGGATATTATGAAAAGGAGAAAAATCAGGCTTGGATGTTGAAGAGAGGAAAGCAGCCTTCTTCAGTTGTAGAATAGAGTGTTATTGGATGCCTCTGCCTGATACCTGTGAAAAGCTGGCCATGAAACAACCAGAAGGAAAATTGAGCAATCTTTTCTCTTTTTTTAAATTATCCTGAAAATATTTTATTATACTTGGACAAAGTCATAAATACTATACAAGTTATTAAGTATGCATAGTTTATATAAGACAATGATCTTTGGAATATCACAACCTATAATATATAACATATAAATGAGAACATCATTTAAAAAAATAAAAGTCACACCATTCTTAAAAAAAAACACATTCTGGTGCTTCAAAATACTGTTATGTGAGGTATTTCATGTATTTATGTGGCATAAAACACATATTACATGAGTTCCAGTATTTGACGTAAAATATGTGAGTACAAATTATAAAATGTAGAAAGACTAATTATACTTTCGTATTCCACTATATAAAGAATACGTGTTACCATGACCTTAGTTTTTCCATAAGTACTACACAATTGCAATCATGTTAACCAAAATGATTCTTTTTGAGCATTTCTTTATGCCTTTATTAGCAATTTGTACTTCTTCTTCTGTGAAGTGTCTGTTCATTTTGCTTGCTTGTTTTTTTATTGGGTCCCTTTTTTTGGACAATCTACTTGTTGAGTTTTTTATGTATATTCTAGTTATGAGTCTTTTGTCTAAGGAATTGCCCCCCAAATTTTTTTCGTATTCTGTAGGTTGTCCTTTCACTCTGTTGGTTATTTCTTTTGCTAGGCAGAAGTTTTTTAATTTAACATGATCCCATTTATTCATTCCAAGAACTATTTCCCATTCACCCAAGGTTCTGAAAGGTTTAGAAAGTCCTTACCTATGCCTATGACTTCAAGAGTTTTACCTATTTTGTCTTACAGCTGGTTAAGTGTTTCTGGTTTAATGCTTAGTTTTTGATCCACTTTGATTTTAGTTTAATATATGAGATGTGGATCTAGGTTCAGTCTTCTGCATGTGGATAGCCAGTTTTCCCAACACCACTTATTAAAGAGACTATATTCCTTCAGTTTGTGTGTTTGATCCTTTTGTCAAATCTCAAATAGTTGAGTGTATCTGATCCTCATGTAAGTTTTTGTGACATCATGCTGTTTTTTTTTCTCACAGTAGCTTTGTAATATAACCTAAAGTCCAGGATTATGAATCCTCCTGCTTTTCTCTTTTTACCCAGGATTACTTTTGCTATTATAGGTCTCATTTGTAAGTATTCAATTTTTCTTGCTGCTATTGTGAATGGCATTTTTCCCCTAACTTCTTTCTCAGTGGCTTCATTATCAGTGTATATGAATGCTATTGATTTTTGTGTGTTGATTTTGTATCCTGCTACTGAATTTCATTATCAATCCTAAGAGTCTTTGGGTGGATTTGGGGGGATTATCCATGTAAAAGATCATGTCTTCTGCAATTAATGATAATTCAACTCCCCTTGCTATATATATAACTTTTTTCCTTGCTATACATATGACTTTTATTTCCTTTTCTTGCTAGTGAAAGACCAGCACATAATTGCTCTTGCCACTGCTTAAAATACTTTGTTGGACAGGAGTTCAACATAGATAAGAGGACACCCTTCTCTTACTAGCAATTTTAGAGTTAAAGCTTTCAGTTTTTCTCCACTTAATATGATGCTAGCGATAGGTTTAGGTTTGTCATAAATGGCTTTTATCAGATGGAGATATAGTGTTATACCTATTTTATTCAGTTTTTCATCATAAAAGGATGTTGGGTTTTGTCACAGGCTTTTTCTGTGTCTATTGAGATGACTGTGTGAGGCATTTTTTACCTTGCTTCTATTTAGGTGATGTATTACATTTATTGATTTGCATATATTGAACCATCCTTTCATGCCCAGGATTAAAGTCTACTTGATCATGATATATGATCTTTTTGATGATTCATTGCATTCTACTGCCAGTATCTTGTTGAATATTATTAAAGAGAATGGTCTATAGTTCTCTCTGTCTCTCTGTCTCTCTCTCTGTCTCTGTCTCTGTCTCTCTCTCTCTCTCTCTCGTCTCTTTTTGTTAGATCCTTGTCTGGTTTGGTAATCGGGGTAATGGTAGCTTCCAGGATTGACTTTGGGAGTACTCCTTTCCTTTCAATTTCATTAAAGAGCTTGAGAAGTGTTGGTGTTAGAACTTCCATGAAGTTTTTGTACAATTTAGCAATGTACTCATCCAGACCTTGGCTTTTCTTTGCTGGTAGGTTATTTATTACTGCTTTGATTGTATTGCCTATTATTTTATTATTCTGGTTTTTTTAATCTTCTTGCTTCAATTTTGATTATTCATGTTTCTAGGAATCTATGCATTTCTTCTGAATTCTCCAATTTATTGGCATACAAGTTTGTGAAGTACTTGTTGGTTGTTTTGTTTTTTTAATTTCAGCAATGTCCATTGTGATTTCACCTTTTCCATTTCTAATTGCATA